GCCCTCGTCCCATCCCCACTGCAGAGATGTGTACTTCCCCCCTCACCGCCACTGCATCAATATGGATGTATTCACTTGACGACATGCACTCATTCACTCGCTACCACCACACCACTCATCCACACGACATCACTGCACTGATGTTCACTCATACACTCACCGCCACTGCACCAATGAGCACACATATTTTGTCGCCACCATCGAACTAAGGCGCAATTCCATAAACAACCCATTGAATGACCAACCCTTTTTTGTCCTTGCTGCAGCTCTGATCACCCCCACCCCAATAACTATGCAGAGAACATATACCATACCTGATGGCTACCTATCCAATGTGACAGACCATGGACCTGGCCATTGGGTGCTCAGACACAGAGCAGTGCATTGTGGGAGTACAAAGGGCTCATAAGTTCCTACATGAAACTCACAGGATTTTAACTGGGTTACATAGTATTTGAGGTTGAATAAAGACATTAGTCCATCAAGTCCAACCTATTAGGATCTCATTCTAGGAGTACCTGTACCCCTGTATAATAGAGTGGGTGGCAGTGGCAGACTGAAGCTATAAAGTAGTCCAGGGACCAGAACATTTTAAACCACATCAGGGGATCGATTTAAAAAAAATAATCTAATTCAATATTACACTTCAGATCTCTTCCTCGCCGCCATTTACACTAGATGTGCGTTAATGAGCATTTGTCACAAGTCAGCATAGGGCAGCCCATTCATTAAATCCATAATATAAATGAGGAAACACACTCCCATCCACTCCCAGTTAGTCCAGAGGTGGGTAACTCCGGCCCTCCAGCTGTGCTTTCACTACAAATCCCATCATGCCTCTACCTCTTGCAGTCATGTCTGTGACTGTCAGTCTTGCAATGTCTCATGGGACTTGTAGTTCCACAATAGCTGGAGGGCCCGAGTTGCCACCTCTGAGTTAGTCGATTGGTTGTCATGCTGGAGAGATTTCGCAGCACTCACATGCTCTCCATTCTACCTCCGCAGCATGAATGGAACAACGACACAACTGTCTCCAGTATAACACACAATACTCAGTAAGCTTATGTAGGGAACTGTTCTTTTATACACCTTCTGTGGTTTTGTTTACATTAATGTTATCCACTACCATAGAGTTCTGTTACAAACAGATTCTTCCTTTTCATAGGATATGCTTCCTGCCCCTGCTAAAAGGTTAGGAAACCCCACAGTAAGATATATGGTCTTTTCGTGAGGTAATATTCAGTGTGTGTGCCCTCATGCCATATGTTGTGGAACTGAGAAATACTGCATGCTGATTCTGTGCTGAGTTCATCCAAACCAAAAAGGAGATACATTAGGCAAGTGTTCCTGCACTGTGTAGTTTCACTTCTATTATGGTGCCACGACTCCTGTGTGAGAATCCTGAGATTCCTGTCAGAGGTATCTCTGATTAAGGCCCCGTTCACACTGAGCGATTTATCGCGCGGTAATCCGCGTGATATCGCGATATCGCTCTCCGATGCATCTCAATGGGGCTCTGTCCGTCGCTGTCGCGGGTCGTGCGTCGCTACAGCAGGACCCTTTTTGGAGCGGATTTTGCCGCGATTCTATGCAATTCAATGCAAGCATTTGCGCGATATCATCGCACAAAATGCAAATTGTGCGACAAACGCGCGATTTGCGAGTCGCTCAATGTGAATGGGGCCTCAGTATTATTGAACTATTTGCATACTGCAGGATAATTGTGATTTCTCAGCTGTATAAGAGTTAAATTCACCTGACTAGGTCTTATCAGGTGAATCTTCTGTTGTTGCAGTGAACACTTGCAGTTTTATTATTTAAAGGAATAGCACCCTTTTTGGTTTGCAATATATTAGCTAATGTTAGCTTAGGGAACAGTAACCATTATAGGGTAGAGGTAGGTTAGGCATCCGATGGCCGCTTAGACAGTTAGGGGCCCGGTTGTATTGATAGCCTAGAATTAGAACAGGGACCAAGAGATAGAATAGACAGGTCTCTTTTACTTTATAGGTGACGCATTCCAGATGGTCTCCTCAAGAGGTGCATTCATCTGCTGCTGCTCCAGCATTGCGTCTTCTCAAGCCGGATTGGACTCTGCCTTAAATATAATATCACCAGGGGCCCCTGCAACTGGACTTTGCTGCAATCCACATTTGGAGGTATCCAAATAAAGTGACTGCATATGTATATATACCGTATATATATATATATATATAACCGGGTATAGGTGCACCATTCTTATAGGACATATGATCATTTTATTTGTCATTCCTGAATGTTCGTGTTTGTATCGTATGTGACATTATCTGTTTGATCTATATAAAGCTTGCATTATATATATATTGGTGTGATTTCTGGTAGAAATCTATGCTGGGAGCAGTAGTATTTCTGTTTTGAGTTATCTTGTGTAAGTCACTAGTAAATTTCCTAGGAAGGGAGCACCTCCTCATATGTAGGAGCCCTGCCGAATTTATTGTCAAAGCCCATTCTTCTATTTAGCGAAGGCTCTGGCTCACATAGTTACCTGCAGGTTAGCGCCATAGCCTGTTTGGAGAGGGCAGTTTCATTTAACCACCCCCCCCAAACAGGGCTACACTTACAAAATGTTGATCATGTTGAAGGAAAGAGATCATAAGGCTGCTATTTTTCCCCAGAAAAGATGGCCATCTGTTTCAGCAACCAACCAGCATTTCCATTTAGTAAAGCATTGTGCTCCTACACGGGATTCACAACCAGAGTGAGCTGGGTTCGGCGTGTTTTACAAACGACCATAGCAGAGTTACATCCTAGAAAGGGACTATCCCCTGTCTTTCTCTTTGGGACTACGTGGCTCTACGCTGCCTTACGCTGACCCCATTGCAGGTCTATACGGGTGCGGGTGTCCCAGCTCGGACGCAGACAGGATTCATCCTGTCAGTGTACGAGAACGGACACCCGCACAGACGTGCGGGGTGGGTGAGCGTAGGGCGGCGTACGGCCGCGTAGTCCCATAGAGAAGGACAGGGGCTATGTACTAATCACGCGCAGCACCTGGATTTCCCGCGATTATCGTACGATTATCGCAAGGTGTGTGGGGACCTTTACAGGTAGCTGATCAGACAGTACGCTGTACAATGCATTACAAAGAAAGGCCATTGGCTCACCTCTCCAAGCCATTGGTTGCCCGGACTGGCTGGGCCACTCCAACCTCTACAGACCCCTAAAAAAGAGACAAAAGAAACAAATTAAATCAATCTACCCAATGGCAGCACACAATAAAACAATGATTTCCTGCAGATATATACATTTGATGATTTATTACAGGTATTTATATAGTGCCTACAATTTACACATTCACATCAGTCCCAGCCCTCTGGAAGCTTACAATCTAAGGTCCCTGTATCACATGCATATACTAGGGCTGATTCAGACAGGAGCCAATTCCAGCATGACTTTGGAGTGTGGGAAGAAACCAGAGGACCCGGAGGAAACCCACAGAAGCACAGGGAGAACATACAAACTCCTTGCAGACAGTGCTGCAAGGCAGAAGTGCTAACCGCAAAGCCACTGAGCAGCTGCCAGATACCACCCACCAGATGCCAGATATAGGACCAGTAACACTCATTATTTGAAAAACTTCTATTGCCTTTTAACACATTTTGAGCATTTAGCTTTGTAGTGGGCAACTAAGGCTGGGCACACACCTTACAACCATCGCAAGATTTTTGTCTTGCGATGGTTGTAAGGTACTTAAAAAAACGTACGATCTGCCTATCTTGCATAGGCAGATCGTACTTGCGGTGATCGCAAGCCGCGCCCCCCCTGAGGGGCGGGTTTCCGATGACCGCAATGCCAAACGGGCAGTGTGCGCTAGCGCACACCGGCCTGTCCGGCTTTTATCGTACCAACATGCTACACACCCGCCGAACATCGTACGATGCTCGGCGGGTTTTCGAACATGTTCGTAAGTTAAAAGTCGTACGACCATACAGTAGTAGAGGTCGCACGGCTTCCACACACCTTACGATAATCTTACGATCGCGGGATTTCCCACGATTATCGTACGATTATCGCAAGGTGTGTGGGGACCTTAAACTGTACTGAATGGGAATAATGATTACATGGGAAATGGACACGCCGAACAGTGGAAACACAGATGAACTGAAGGCACATTCAAATCATCCCTATTTCCATGTATGTTGCAGGGTTTGGGACTGAGGACTACAGGACTTTTTAAATACCGCAATGCATTGCCTTGGGAAAGAGACTTGGAAACTGCATTTTCAAGTGTTGTCCTGTATGGGGCAATTGTTCATTGTGCAGTGTTGCTGGAGAATCCTCTTTAGTAGACCAGCACCACAGGACAACGTACTTATAAAGAGTACTTACTGTATCACAGACTGCTGTGGATGTAATCGTTCGGGGGTAGGCAACCTTAGCACTTCAGCTGCAGTGAAACTACATATTCCATCGTGCCTCTGCCTCTGCGAGTCATGCTTGTCGCTGTCAGAGTCTTTCAATGCCTCATGGGACTTGTAGTTCCACAACAGCTGGCGTGCTGAGGTTGCCTACCCATGTAATAGTCTGAATGAGTGCCTGATGCAGGTCAACAGTACACATGTAGAGTTTGTAAAATGAACATACAGGATGCAATAAGATTTCATTTTTCACAGGTGCAGAGCATGTTCACCAAGTGAATGTTCACTTATCAATTGAGATGAAACAAAGTGAAAACCCACTTTGCAAAAAAATCAGTGAATGAGGTGCATTTTTTATCCGATTAACCGATTAATCGAACTTAATAATCGGCTAACTAATCGATTTTGAAAATAATCGTTAGCTGCAGCTCTAGTTGTGATGACCTCAATTATCTAAACACATGCAAGCAGAAATATGTTTTGGTTTTTCTTTCTTACACATTTTTGGGTATTTTTGCAAAGTGAATTTTCAATTTATTTCACTTCATTCACTAACATAAGTAAGACTTCACTTTATAATGAACTCTTCTAATAAAACCCTTTCTGGGGGGATACCCAGGGCCTGTGTGTAATAAATGATTTCCGTTATTTTCACTTGTGAGCTATGTAGTTCTCAATGGAATACAAGTGCGGTGATGTCACTGTACATGTAGTCCATTGACACTTTGCGCTGTCTATGTTACTGAATGTCCGTACCTCGATACTGACGGGAGGAAGAGTTTGCAGGAGCAAGAGCAATCTACAGATCATGGTTTCAATGCGATACAAAAAAATTATAAATGCACATTTTTCCTTTTATGAAGAACTCTTCATTTTTATTTTTAAAAGTTGGAATTTCCAAGTGAAAGTAGCTTGTTCCTATTTCCCTCTACACTGCCCCCCTAAGGGGCGGGCTTCCTATGACCGCAATGCTGAACGGGCAGTGTGCACACCGGCCCGTTCGGCATTTGTCTCCCGAGCATGCTCCTAAGGCAAAAGACTTGCGACCATACAGTAGAACAGCTTTAGTCTTGCGATCGCGCTACCAACCCGCCGAAAATCATACTTTAATGAGGCAGCCTGTTACCTCAGGCGGCATCTCTTTGGATCATGTGGGGGTGGTTCTTTTGCACAATGTTTGCAGTGTGTCTTCCGCCCCCTTTCCGGCCATGGTATCCCAGGTTGCCAAGAGCCGGGTGGGGAGATGTGTACGCATACACGTCTCCCTGCCCAGCTCTTAGCAACCTGGGACACGCTGGCTGGCATCCTGCCCAGCTTTTGGCAACCAGGACCTGGGTGGGACGCCGTCCAGAGTGTCAAACTCCCCCCCACCCGACAGCCAAAGCATCAAACCCTAACTCCCCTTCCCCACCAGAGCCCCAATCTTCACCACTGGGTGCCAATACTATTGCTGGGCTACCATTATTATCCAAATAATTACATATCCCCATCCATGAGCTAATCACCCAGATATGGTACAATGTTTAAGGTTGATGACAGGGTCTCGTTAAACCAGAGGCGGGCAAACTCCAGCTCTCCAGCTGTGGTGAAACTACCAATTGCATAATGCATCTGTGTCTGGGAGTCAGGGCCGTGGTTGTGAGAATCTTGCAATGCCTCATGGGATTTGTAGTGTCACAGCTGGGGTCTGGAGCTAGCCCACCCTGTTTTAAACACATTGATATGCTTGCCCCAGGTAACAATCACCATGACAGGTTCTCTTTAACTGAGTCTGTGTGGATTATGGTGCTACATAAGGGCACTCAACCATATCTTCTGAAAAACCAGGTGTCTTATCAGAGTCCGAGCATAAAGTAAACACAGACAGAAGAGGGGGAGGGGAGGTCTGCTTTGTAATTTGAATGAAGCTGGAGGAGATGTGAGAGTATGCATTCATATTTATACTGCTTTATAAGGAACCTGATAGGAAGAAATATGTAAGCTGTGTAAGCTGACTTAAATGATCTGTCATCTTTATTCGTTCTCCAGTACTTGGTAAGAATGCCAACAGATGCCGAAAGCCAGCCATTAAAAATTAGTAGAATTTAAGGCCACAAAATGTATGACGTGGCCCCACGGGATTGTGACCCCCTGCACCCACTATTGGTTCTCTTTTACTTGTAGTAGTTTCTAGAACTTTGCTTGGCCAGTTTCTGGTTTACCTTTTGTCTGTTTCAGGTCACCCCTCAGCTGTTACTATGCAGGAAAACCTGAAGTCTGCTGTTGCTGGGAAGATTTCACAGCTCCCCTCACACCTGATTGGCAGCTAAGTTTGTGGCGAGAAATCTAACATCTGATCAGGAGATGGGCTCACCTTTATATATCTTCTGTCAGATACTCTGTCAAGTGTTATCTTTAGGCTGGATTCACACCTAGGCGTATTGAATATGCGCGTTTGTCGCGCGGTTAGCGGTGTGCGTTTTTACCACGATTCGCGGTAAAAAAAATGTGCGACAAACGCGGCAGAGCCAGCTGTCAGTCATGCAGCTGGGCGGATCCCGGCACAATTGTCGGGATCCGCTTCAGCTGCGGCGTCTCAGTCTACCGCGAGCTACAGCTCGCGGTATACTGAGCCTAGGGTGACGGGAGGACGCTAGTTTGTGTCCTCCCGTTACCCTAAGGAGAACTATGGGGAAAAGCCTTAACCTCATAGTTCTCCTTTAGCATTCAATGCGCTGACATCTACAACCCTTTGTTAGGAAAGACAGTGTTATAACCTCGTATATAACTGATAATGAAATCTGCCAGCACAGGATAGGCAGGGTTAAAAAAAGAACATCAGGAACTTAAAAACTTCCCCTTGCTATGCCCCTTGCTCCTGTGCTCTGCCCCTTGTGATCTTGTACTGGACAGGAAGGTTAGGAAAGTGGAGCTGATAGAGTTGGAGTCACTGTCTGGAAACCTGATGACTGTAAGTGCTCAGTTAAATATTTAAAAAACTACTTTGCTTGGAAATGCATATTTGTTTGATAAGGATTTAATATTGAAACAAAGTTTTGGAGTTTAATACCACTGGTAGCAATCATGGCATCAAAACATAGCACATCACAAAGACTAACAATGACACAATGTCATAGCGGAATATGTGTCACCTGTCCTCGTCCTTCTCTATTACTCTACTCCTTCCAAGCTCATTCTTCCATCAAGTATTCTGGATTAAGGGCTTGTGCACATGGTTGCGTCCAATCATTCCCTGCAATGGCTCATTTTCCATCAACTGAACAAAAGAGAAATACCAGGGCTGAACTTTATGAAGATAGTGCCAACAGTTAAAGATCTCCTTGGTGGAGCGGTGGAACATGAGAAGCAACCAATACTCTGTATGTCCAGCCTATTATCTGCTGTGGGTTTTCATTGGTACTTTACATCAGGGGTGGACACATCATTATGGAATTCAAGAGTCAGTCTGCCCAATCCCAGAGCCAGCAGGATGTTTATGGAGGAGCCAGCTCCATTGGTGACAACTTGAGAGAGGTTAGGCACCAGCTGTAATTTTACAGAGCCTGGCTCCTGGAAATTGTCCAGCCCTGCATTACATTGTTTTAAATTTGGCAACCGTTGTCATGAGCTGAGTTTGTCCTGAATGAGCCAATGAGCATTGTTTGTAGTATGTTGTACTGCAGCGTTTGTAGTATGTTGTACTGCAGCGTTTGTAGTATGTTTTACCGCAGAGTTTGTAGTATGCTGTACCGCAGGCTTTGTAATATGTTGTACCGCAGGCTTTGTAATATGTTGTACCGCAGGCTTTGTAATATGTTGTACC